ATAGATGGATGGACAGGCAAACAATTGTTGTTTGTATCCTGGTTAGCTTTGGTCGTTGTGCTGCTGCTGCGGCTGCCTTGGCTGCTGTACAAATTAGTTTCTAATACCTTCAAGTCAAACAGTGGACCCGCCCGGAGAGAGAGACCTTTGCCGGCGGCAGGGCAAACAGACAACAAGACAGGGCAAACACTGGGTTGCCCTTCTCAAAGGAAAGTCCGAAGCTACCGAAGCTACCGAATCTCCCGAATCCTTCCCCTATCCCCAAGTCCGAAATCCACAATCCTTGGCCCCCGGAAGTTTGCCAAATCACTTGAGCGTGTTTATGAAATAACGTTGACTCGAGTCTATATACATTATGTGGGGGCGTGGGTTTGTTTGTGAGCCTTGCGCCTAATTACAAAACTCATCCGCAGCCGATTGATTCGCCCAGCAAATGGTATTTTAAATAGTTTCGCTTAGTTTGCTCTTCAGTCTTCCCCATTTAAAATCGACTTCAAAGGCAGTAGTTGTTGGCCAAGACGGCGTAATGATGCACACGCTCCGCTCCAGTCGAAAGTTGGCCCCAACCACAAGACCATGTGGCGGGTTTAATGAGCTAACTGATTCCAAAAGGGGCAGAGAGCACTGAGTCCCGCTCACCGTCATCCTCCGTTTATCTTTGGCCAAAACTTTTAAAATTAATTTTTAATTGTTTATGCAGCCAAAGTTCAGCTTCAGCTTCTGCTTCTGGCCGGGGGAAAAGTAAGAAAACAAAGGGGGAACAAATAAAAACAATTCTTGCAGCACTAAGAGATACTAAAGATACTTTTGTTCATTGTTTGTTTTGTGTTTTGTTTTTCCCTCTCAAGACATGATGCTGCAAATTAACCAATTTTCATTAGACCAATAAAGGAAATTAGTCGGAGAAAAGAAAGAGAAAAGGTTTAAGGTCCTGGGAATGAAAGGTTGTCACGGATTCGGGAAGTAATTAAGATATTCTGTTTAATATTTTAAGGATTTATCTATTATAAGGTAAAATTACTACTTGATTTTTCATTATAACAGTTCCCTCGAAGTATTTCCAACCAATAAATACAACCAGCAAACCACCAAAAGCAGCTGCTTCAAACCCACTAAACGCTTAATACTTAACCCAAGAGATCCGAGGAGACCTTGCCTTGGCAGTGAAGTTCAGCAGCTTGTGGAGGGCAGCTGTGAATGCAAATTGCTAGATGAATTCAGACAATAATCGGGGCAACAAAATGCCCATTGATAACGATCGTGCATAACCGTAAACCGGGTGGGGAGCACTGAGAGGAGAGCTGCCCATGGGGGACATTTGCATAACACTGGGCCAAAAAGAGTTGGTAGAGAACAGTGGCAATGCTTTATAAAAGAAAATTATGCAAATTGCTAATAAATTATAGTGAGCCAGCAGCGAACGACATGTAAAATAATAACAAGCGGACGGAGATGGAGATGGCGATGTGCGATGGCGATGGCAAGCGCTTTTTTTGGGAAGGAGGAGCGGTCGCGAATTGAATTACAAATGTAAACACAATGCCACAGGAGAGGACAGAACGCGGGGACAGTTGGGGACAGGAGGAGGCCAGAGGACAGGACACGACTGGAGCGCTGACAGGATGGAAAGAGGGCACTGCGAAATCATTAAAATAATAAAGCGTTGCTCGCTTTCAAGACGACAACGACGCGATGACGACGACGCTGACAACAGCGACAAGGACATTAACTGGCGAGCGGATAATGGCGAAACTTTTTGACATTTATTGTGTTTGTGTCGAATGTTTATTTATGATTGCACGCGGCCGGGGTCGCGCTACGTATTTACATTACAATGATCAGAAGAGCATAACTAACGGCCACATCCTATAGCAGCCACATCCCCCGGCTTCCCATCATCATCATCATCGAACCGAAGCATCATATCATCGGCTTGTTTGCGTATGCGAATGCGTATTAAATTAATGATGCTTTCTAGTTCATAAAATTCGTTATATTTTGGCTCTGAATCTGTTCTCCCGGAGTATCAACATCAACACACAAATCAAATAATCACATAAATGAGAGCACAACACGGACACACACTCATGTGCGTGTGTGTGCCTAGCGGGTGTGTCTATTGAATTGAAACAAATTGATTGTCATGAAACATCGTTTATACATATTATAATGTGTCATAGGATGTTCATGCTTCGCTTCATACATTTTGGTACAAAACCAAAACCTCAAATAAAAAAATATTTATAATACAGTCGAGATCCTTTAGACTTGAACTGCCATCTGTTGTTATTTAAACTTGAGTTGTGATTATAGATTAAAAGAGGAAATGTATTTATTGAAGATTTAAATGAATTCGTATTTATGGTTCTTTAAAAAAATGTTTAATAAATAATATTAAGAAATCTGGGCCAAAAGTATAAAGGAACTGAGGAACTTTTAACAAAGGGTATATTTAATTGTATTATTATTAAAATGTATTTAGAGAATTTGAAGGCATATTCTAGAATTTTAGCCTTGCAAAAAGCGAAGAGAATTAAATTATAAATTATTTTTAAAGATTTTTTAAAGAAACCTAATCCGAGATTTTGAAAAGTAAAGTACTTAGCTTAGTAATACCTATAATAACACAAATATATGGGAGGAAAACTATAGTAAATTGAAGAACATTCTTAAAAAAGCAAATTAATACTTATTTTTAAGAAGTTATTAAATGATAAATTTATTTATATTATATAAAACCTCCCTTACCCTGATTAACACTCTTTCTAACTTTAAAAATAATAGAAATCAAAATCTAAAAAATCAAATTTTCATCTACAGACCCAAAAAACCATCTTATAGAAGCTCCCCTGTACTCTCTATGGCCTGCCATGATTTCACAAGTGGCGATGTGAGTGATTGTGATAAGGACGCGGCTGCCCGGGGATCCGATAGGGAGTGCTGCACACACCACACACACATACATACACCACACGCACATTTTTGATACTTGGATATGGTGGGGCCCTTTATGAGGGCGATAGTTCCCCCCTAGCAACTGGAGCCGAAACTGGCGAAATTTATGGTTGTTTACAGCAGATTGCACACCCCATTTGCTTTGTTTTGCACTCGCTTTTGCTTGCCACTTGACACACATTTTGGGCCAGGCCAAGACTCGAGACGATGACTCTTGAAAAACCGAAAAAACTTACGCAGTTTTGTCTCTTTAATTAGTCCAAGGCCGCGCAAAGGAGCGGGCGGGCGGGCGGCTGGTGAGGAATATGCTCGTAAGACCCTCGGGAGCGCCAAAAGTGAAAGTGCCTCCGACATCATATGCATGATTTGTGAAAACTTTTCGCCGCCAACTCCGTTACCAGAGCTCCTCCTGGTGGCTCCTTCTCCTGCTCGACGAAGCTTGTTTTGCCAAGTTTATGATTTTCATAGCCAAAGTTTTTCGCCAGAGCATAACATGGTCCCAACTTGTAAGCTCCTTCGTTCCTTCGTTGTTTTCTTGCCTCGTTACGTCCTGCGTGCAGCATATTTTCAGCAGGATCTTTGATATCCTGGCCACATGGAGCCGTTAACGGGATACGGGCTATGGTTTATAGTACACCACACACACACGGACACTTTATTTTGCAAAACAAAAAGCTGCAATTGCAAAATATTGTGAATCCTTTTTTGACCTATCGATAAAGATCGCATGGTTAGTGATGGCAAGATGTCGATAGGAAAATAGTGTTGAGTAAGCAATAAAAAATAAATCAAAAGGATGTGCCCAAAAAAGTGATTGTGCAACACGGAATCCTTATTGCAATCGATAACGCCACATTATAGATATACGCAATTAACACCCACGTTTTCCCCAGTTGAACACCAAGAAATTGCGACTCAAATAAAATTAAAGTAAAATAACCAACGCTTATTAGCAAGTCCCATTAAACAAACACGATCGTGCTGCCCGTGCGACCTTTTGCAGGCCATCAATCTTGAGCGGTTCGTTGAACTCCCAGCTCCAAACTCCAAGCTCCAAGCGAGTGTAGTACGCAAATTACCGATAGCCACTTGAGAAATTAACGCTCGAAACTATTAATAAATAAATGCCGTATGAGGTGAGTAAGCGCACAACGTATACGCTGTCATTAAAGCATTCGAATAACCATTGTGTTTTTGCATTAGATCTTGTTAAGAGGGCCCGATGCTCGCTCTTGACCGTGAAGCCACACAGCTGACGGTACGCCATGGCGATCGAATCGAATGGAATCGAAGCGTCAAAGTGGCGAACGACAGCGAAAGCGAAACGCCGAGCATTTTAGTTCCGCACTGTACACGGCAATCTTCAGGTAACTCCACCTGTGCACCATGGGATAAAAGGTATTTATTTTGAACAAAATAAATTATAGTATTTGCTTTGTACATTCACAAAAGATTAACTTTGGCATAAGATTAACTATGGGTAACTTTATTTTCAATGCTATTATTTAGAAACTTTACTTTTAAAGTAACCTTTTTACTCCCAAATTGTAAGATATAACCAAGTATCACAGTTAGGGGGTATAGCTCAGGGGTAGAGCATTCGACTGCAGATCGAGAGGTCCCCGGTTCAAATCCGGGTGCCCCCTTGTTATATTTTTATATATACAAATTATCAGGATTCATTGACAAACTAAATACCAGCAGTATGAAACTCTATCCCCTTAAAGTATTAATTTTTTTCCAAGATTTCCAAGATTTTCTCTCATTTACTCACTGTTTCTTATTGACCAAACCGGCTTCCCATTCGTCTTAATCTCTGCGAGAAGACGCTGTTATGCGGCGATGAGGGAGACGGGGGCACTTGAGGGCTCGAGTGGCGCATGTTTGGGCTTTGGCCAGGTTCATTGCTTTTGTTACCAATTCGGTATCGGAATCGGTTTCGATTTCGGTTTCTGTTTCCGCTGCTGTTTGCCGGCAAACAGAGCCACTGGCCATTGTTTGGACTGAGGCTGGGCAAACATTAAAGCGTATAAATATGCCGACAAATTGCGACGATTAATCATTCGACCCATAGATTCCACCGTCAAAGCAATTAGCTTGGAGATCTATACCAACATGGTGAATATCAATCTCAACGTTAGGACTGGCTCCTCCATCAGGACTACTCCACTTACACCCTTTTTCCATTCCCATTCTAGAAACTGTTCATAGCGTGCATCTTCATTGCCGCCGCGACGGCTGCAGTGCTTCCCGTCGAACAAGCCAGGCACCGTCGTGACGTCTCCGAGATCGTGAACGAGTATATCCCGCCGGCGGAGGAAGTTGGCGCCGCTGCCCCGCTCGGGGAGCTGGCCCAAGACTCCGCACCGGTGGGAGAGGATGGATACCGCTACAAGACCGTGCGTCGCCTCAAGCTGCGTCATCGTCGCGATGTTTCCGAGATTGCCAACGAGTACCTGCCCCCCACTGAGGAAGTTGTTGCTGATGCCCCCATCGAGGAAGCCCCAGTTGAGGAAGCTTCTCAGGATTCTGCCGTTCTTGCCGCTGATGGATATCAGTACAAGACCGTGCGTCGTCTGAAGTACCGCCAGCGCCGTGATGTTTCTGAGATCGCCAACAGTACCTGAGATCGCCAACGAGTACCTGCCTCCTTCTGAGGAAGTTGCCACCGAGGCCCCTGTCGAGGATGCCCCCGTTGAGGAAGCTTCTCAGGACTCCGCTGTTCTTGCCGCCGATGGATACCAGTACAAGACCGTGCGTCGCCTGAAGTACCGCCAGCGCCGTGATGTCTCTGAGATCGCCAACGAGTACCTGCCCCCTTCTGAGGAAGTTGCTGCTGATGCCCCTGTTGAGGAGGCTCCAGTTGAGGAAGCCAGCCAGGACTCTGCTGTTCTTGCTGCCGATGGATATCAGTACAAGACCGTCCGCCGCCTGAAATACCGTCAGCGCCGTGATGTTTCTGAGATCGCCAACGAGTACCTGCCTCCTTCTGAGGAAGTTGCCACCGAGGCCCCTGTCGAGGATGCTCCCGTTGAGGAAGCCAGCCAGGACTCTGCCGTTCTTGCCGCTGATGGATACCAGTACAAGACCGTGCGTCGTCTGAAGTACCGCCAGCGCCGTGATGTTTCTGAGATCGCCAACGAGTACCTGCCTCCTTCTGAGGAAGTTGCCACCGAGGCCCCTGTCGAGGATGCTCCCGTTGAGGAAGCCAGCCAGGACTCTGCTGTTCTTGCCGCCGATGGATACCAGTACAAGACTGTCCGCCGCCTGAAGTACCGCCAGCGCCGTGATGTCTCTGAGATCGCCAACGAGTACCTGCCCCCTTCTGAGGAGGTTGTCACCGAGGCTCCAGTCGAGGATGCCCCCGTTGAGGAAGCCAGCCAAGACTCCGCTGTTCTTGCCGCCGATGGATACCAGTACAAGACTGTCCGCCGCCTGAAGTACCGCCAGCGCCGTGATGTCTCTGAGATCGCCAACGAGTACCTGCCCCCTTCTGAGGAAGTTGCTGCTGATGCCCCTGTTGAGGAGGCTCCAGTTGAGGAAGCCAGCCAGGACTCTGCTGTTCTTGCCGCCGATGGATACCAGTACAAGACCGTGCGTCGCCTGAAGTACCGCCAGCGCCGTGATGTCTCTGAGATCGCCAACGAGTACCTGCCCCCTTCTGAGGAAGTTGTCACCGAGGCTCCAGTCGAGGATGCCCCCGTTGAGGAAGCCAGCCAAGACTCCGCTGTTCTTGCCGCCGATGGATACCAGTACAAGACTGTCCGCCGCCTGAAGTACCGCCAGCGCCGTGATGTGTCTGAGATCGCCAACGAGTACCTGCCCCCTTCTGAGGAAGTTGCTGCTGATGCCCCTGTTGAGGAGGCTCCAGTTGAGGAAGCCAGCCAGGACTCTGCTGTTCTTGCCGCCGATGGATACCAGTACAAGACCGTGCGTCGCCTGAAGTACCGCCAGCGCCGTGATGTTTCTGAGATCGCCAACGAGTACCTGCCCCCTTCTGAGGAAGTTGTCACCGAGGCTCCAGTCGAGGATGCCCCCGTTGAGGAAGCCAGCCAAGACTCCGCTGTTCTTGCCGCCGATGGATACCAGTACAAGACTGTCCGCCGCCTGAAGTACCGCCAGCGCCGTGATGTGTCTGAGATCGCCAACGAGTACCTGCCCCCTTCTGAGGAAGTTGCTGCTGATGCCCCTGTTGAGGAGGCTCCAGTTGAGGAAGCCAGCCAGGACTCTGCTGTTCTTGCCGCCGATGGATACCAGTACAAGACCGTGCGTCGCCTGAAGTACCGCCAGCGCCGTGATGTCTCTGAGATCGCCAACGAGTACCTGCCCCCTTCTGAGGAAGTTGTCACCGAGGCTCCAGTCGAGGATGCCCCCGTTGAGGAAGCCAGCCAAGACTCCGCTGTTCTTGCCGCCGATGGATACCAGTACAAGACTGTCCGCCGCCTGAAGTACCGCCAGCGCCGTGATGTTTCTGAGATCGCCAACGAGTACCTGCCCCCTTCTGAGGAAGTTGCCACCGAGGCGCCTGTCGAGGATGCTCCCGTTGAGGAAGCCAGCCAAGACTCCGCTGTTCTTGCCGCTGATGGATACCAGTACAAGACCGTGCGTCGCCTGAAGTACCGCCAGCGCCGTGATGTCTCCGAGCTGGCCAGCGAGTATCTGCCGCCCGCCGAGGAGGTGGTCGCTGAAGTGCCCGTCGAGGAAGTGGCCCAGGACTCCGCCGTCCTCGGCGACGAAGGCTACAAGTACAAGACTGTGCGCCGCCTGAAGCTGCGCCACCGCCGCGCCCTGTAAGTCCGGATCCGGAATCTGGAGGCCTGTGCCCACACCTGTACCTGAACGCTCGTTCGCGACTAGAACAACGCTCTCACCCTACCAACCACACTACTAGGACGTAAGTTTTGCTATTATTTAACGATCGAAGTCAACGAATAAATCCAACAAAAATTGTTATGCCATATAACCTGGGAGTATTTATGTATATCCGACCTGGTCGGCCGCGCACCTGTTGGGATTGGAATGGGAGCCGGACTCGATTCCATAAATTGTGTACCTTTTCGCTTAGTTATGACAGCAACAGTTAAGCTCATGGCTCAGCGCACAAGAACGCAATTATCCAAAAACGAGAGGTGGACGCGGGGCAAGAAGGGTCAGCGTTGTTGGCCCGGGATTCGACCTGGGATCCTGTCCAGGGTCCTGGCACCTTGCTCCCAGCCGGGCGCAACTTCGGCGAACTCTAACAAATACTTTAAGCTATGCTTTTGAAGATGTTAATCTCATGTCAAGTCCACTTTACACACAACGTTAAGGGTTTGCCCTGGCCAGCCAGGTCCTAGCCCACCCCGTTTATTCCCAAGCACTGAAAGAAATTAAAGAGAAATTAATAACTCTCGTAAGAAATGATATTATAAACTATATTAAATTAATATGTTTCAAGGTGATTAATTAATAGTTCAAAGAGAAACATTATGTTTCCAAAATTGAACTAAAAAGTATTTGAATTTTTTTAAAATTTATTAGACATTTCCCTCAGTGCTGCCACCCGCCAGGAGCAAAGTCACCCATTGATTTGTGAGAGTGTGTTCGAGGTGTGGGTCCTTGTTTGGTGTTGGCAGCAGCAGCAGGAACAAAAAAAAAAGTTGTTAAGTTAAAAGGCATTTGAACCGCAGCGAGCCAAGGATTTCGGTCAGCGCTCCTTTCGGGGATCTAACAACTTCCTTTGCACGCGCCTCCAACGAGGAGAAGTAGGTGGACCGGGAGACGGGGCGGCAGAAGGGACCGCAGGACCGTTGGACAGACCAACTAATAATAATTTATCGATCCCCTAGCCCAAGTAGTCACATACGTGGGTCGCCCTATGATTTATGGCAGCCAGGGACCTCGTCGAGTGGGCGGGTCCAAGAAGGAGTGGTGGGTTGCCAATGAGGAGGAGGAACTGGCAGGAGCCCTGGCCCAAACCAAGGTGCCAGACAGGCGGCCAGCGCAGTGCCAAATTGGTTTAATGTGTGGTTAGACAACTTATTTAACGTTTTCAAGTGGTTAGCGCCCACACAATCTCGCCCTGCCAGCTGTGGATCTGGAGCAGGGACAGTCTGTCCGTTTGGTTATAGCGATTGGGGCACTCAGGTGGCCAGGGTCTCATTGCGCCCCCGGGCAGGTACTGGCTTTCAAGCACTATACAAATATTTATTTAGGATTTTAATTATAAAACTTTTTAAATTATTAAAATTTTTTTAAATACTAATTTGAAATATCAAGCGTTAAATTTTATTTATTTAATTAATTTATTGATTTATTTTATTAATTTTTATATTTATTAATTAATTAATTTATTTATTAATCAATCAAACTAGCACTTATTTTAACCCTTTCATAATATAGTAAAAAATTGATTCGATATTTAAATAAATATATTAATTTTCCAAATTCCTTTTCTATAGTTTTAATAACAAAGTAGTTAAATTTCTCCCAGTGTATTCCGATTTGTTGCGCATTGTTTTGGCCACATAAATCATACAATGCCGTTATTTACTCTTTTGTCGAGCGGCAAACTGGTTACGTATGCCACTATCTACACGGTATCTACAAGTGCACAAGCCCCGGGCTGACGCCTCCACTCTGGAGGGCAAGAGCTGGAGGTGGTTGGAGCAACTGAAGCAGTTTTGGACCCCTTAGGGAGTGGGCAACATAAATCAGTTGGAGCCATTTTGTAGAGCACGCCATCAAGCCGAAATTATGACATCATTAAAACAATTATCTGCGCTAAATTATACGATCTGATAACTTGAGAACCACCACCAAAAGCCGAACTATCCCCATTTTTTTAGGGGGAAAATCACATAAAAATTTTATGAATTATTTCAAATATTTTCAATTACCAAGGATTCAAGCCGGGTCGAAAGCTGCGGAGAACCGCATAAATAGATTTATGCTCCACTCGAGCATGGCACATTAACAGGACATTCCAAGGAGCCCTGCCGGAGTAATGAAAGTGAAATTATGGCTCTCGACCCTGACCCGATGGCAAGTGCCTTGAATTTTAGCTTGATTAAAATTCAAAAAGTCCTCAGTCACATGCTCTCGCCCATAATTTATCACTTAATGGCCTCTCATTATTGAAGTGGGTGTAATTTGTTGATCCAGCAACAAAATCAATTCGAGTCGCTGATTAGCTTAGCTCCTTTTTTTTTTCACATGCAAATAGAGCGATTCTGTGGCAGGATAAGATGTCAAGATACCAGCACAGCTCAACCATTATGACATAAGATGCACGGAAGGAAAAAAGAGGGTACTATTTTTGTATAAGAAATATAAGTTTAAAAAAAACCGAGTTTTAAAAAACTTTTATAAAATCTAAAAAATTATGAAGAAAGTTTAGTTGTACCATAGAATATATATATATTTTTTTTACCAGTGCAATAACATGGACATGAACATTGGCATGACTATATCCACGAGTATCTGTGTGGTAAACATGGTGCAGCAACTTTATGACCACAATATAATTTATTCAATGCCATTTCGGGGGCGATGGCAATGGCGACGGAGGAGAAGGAGTAGAGGAAAAGAGGACAAGACAAGCAATTGACATTTTTGTGACTTTTGAAAACTATAAAATGTGCAGCCCCGGAACATGGCGTCGGCAAATGGCAAATAGCGGACAGGCCAAGGCGAGAGAGCATAATGATGACGGGCGTAAAGACCGCATAGCAGACAGCTCCACAGCTCTATATGGTTATACATATACGAGTGGAGGAGTGGAGAAGTCCCGGGCTGAGCTGGACATAAAAATAACCCCGGCAAAATAATAAAGTTGCGCTTGATTATGTGTTGGTCTTGGCCTCGGACACAAAGAAGTAAATACAAATACGCCGGCAACTAGACTAAAATTGTCAGGACTTACAGGACATTACACGTCCGCCCACGAGCATCTGATGGCCACCAGGACCTCGGCCATTTGTCCCCAGCTAGCTTGTCAACGAAAGGCAACCAGAACGACGGCCAGCAAAGCCAACATCAGCAGGCAGAAGCAACAGCCAGCGAAGGAGCGACGATGCAGAGGAGCGGGTGAACGTATGCCGGATATCCTTTTTGACATGTCATTAAATTTTATACACACAATAATTTTTCACAATTTGCTTTACGGCCGTTTTAAGAGCCTGTGTGTGTTCGAGGAAAAGAGAGTTGAAAATTCTCGACACGCCCTATGGAAGCACATCGACACCACAGGACACGGGACCAAAGGCTGAGACAATGATATAGACACATATCAAATACTTGTGGAAATACTTCAAGTTTCCCCTGTTGAAAATGATGAATGGACAGGGAGATGGGGGCCCGGATCAGGCGTGTGAGATGTAAGTCTGAACCCTGTATCAAATTGCTTTAGAATATTCAATCATTTCGGGGTCAGCTTAAGTATAGTTTAAGGATCTCTCTTTCTCTCTGAGCTCATGTGTTTGGTAGAATGGAAAATTATTTACACATTTTCAGCAAATTGATGAAGCGTTTTGCATAAATCCTAAGGGTGAAGACTTCATTTAACATTCTGTTAAGAGAGCTGATTGTTAAGGTTTTTGGGGAAAGTAATCAAGATTATTGCTATTTGGTTGGGATGTTACTAGAATGTTGCAGTTTGTTTTGTTGGAGAAAATGTGGTTTAAACTTATTTAAAAAGTAATAAAAGAATGCTTAAAATATATATGAAACTTAAAATTATTATTAGAAAAGATTAGAGGCATCTTAATTTAAAAAAAACCCTTTCTTCAACACTTTTTAAAGGTCAACCACTTTGTCCAGTGTTTTAGCCTTATCCAAAACCAACACAAATATTACATATCAATTCCAACTCTTAATTTAAGCATTGCCTTAAATAGTTACTAAAGCTATAAGTGTTTTACTATACCGAAACTCACTGTATGATTATTTGTAATCATTTTTCGTAAGGCAAAACATCAAACCGCAGAACGATTATGACAACAAACTCTCAACGGTCGTAAGCTCCAAATGCCGAGGCCACAGAGGCAGAAGGACCGGAAGGATCCGAAGGACACTTGTCCATACCGTATAATTTTACGGCCATTAAGTATTATTTCAAAATCGAAGCAACGAACGGCGCCGCACAAAGCCTTTGTTTGTTTGTGTCCGGTGTATTTCTAGATTGCTGAAATTATAGCTTTTATTATGATACACTGATGCCGCCCCGGGCCAAGTGCTGCTGGCGTTGTTAAATTGGCTTAAGGTGGAATTATAGAGCTCCGAATCGAATCGAATCGAAACGAATTGAATCGATACGATACGATAGACTCTGGGGGCAATTGGCAAGGGGCGAAGCCAAGTCAAACAGACAAATGTTCACACAAAATGCAAAGCGAGCTTGCAAAGATCTCCTCTTTCAGAGGGGAGAGTTTCGGGGACAACTGCAGTTCTCTGCAGTTTCCTATGCCCCAGTATCCTCGTCACTCCCATTGGCCCATATGTGGTTGTCAACCAGAGCCAAGTCACTCTTTGGCAATAAAGGAAATCTTCTTACAAAACATTCGCTTAAGTTTATTCAAACAAACTTAGATAACACTCCAAGAAGAGAAGACTGAGAACGACTCAGGGAGATGGTAGGGAGACGCAAGGAGGGCAAAAGGGGACACAGATATCCTGGGCAGGGTGCAGGAGACAAAGGAGCCACCAATCAGTCAGGCGGAATAAGCATCACCGCACGAGCCCTCGAACTTTTCTTCGTCCCTTTGCCCACTCCAATCGTCTCCAATTACAATGTCCTTTTGTTTTATATATGTGAC